TGGGCCGAGAATCCCAAACGAGACCCCCCGTATCAATTTCAAGAACCGCTGGTGCTTACTGCATCAATGGGATCGAGTTTTCTCCTTGAAAATTAGCAAACTTTGAAGCGTTATAGCTCGAAAACTGCTAAAAATCGGGTAAATACACTAAAGCTTAATGAATTCGTCTTGAAAAGTACTATCGCATGGTATTAAAAAAAATATATAGTTCCATTTGAAAAACGAAACTTGACCATCATATCTCGTTAAATAACAAAATTAACAAAAATTCCTTCTTGCTGAAACATGGGCCCCATTTTACCATGCAATTTCCATATTTGAAATTTTCCATTCGGCCGATAGTTTTGGAGTTAGAGCTCCGTATCACTTAGGCTGGGACACTCTGTATGTCTCTCAGATACCCCGAAAAAATGTCAGGAATACAATGGTAACAGTTTTACAACAAAAACTGTAATAATAAAAAAAGTTTGATCGTTGCATTAGCATTGTCTCATCGAGATATCCGATCCCGGATCATGTTACTGTCCATTTATCGTAGAGAAACTTGTGCATTTAAGGAGACTGCTGAATTATATACATGTATTAAGTTCAATACTTGCAATGTACAATTACGATTTGTTCTGAATTAAAATATGTATTTAAATTTTTAAAAAAATTCTTGAATTTGTTTATGACAACTGCGTATATCGCCTTAAAGGTGCAATAAGCGATGGATATTTAATTTCTTAATCATCTGGATGTCTGATCGAGAACGTCCTTGGTAAAAACCTATATAATTTATAATTTCTCGAGGGTATGAACGTGAACTTAGGAGACGCTCTACAGTTCCTCAGAGAGTACGACAGCGAAGCTTCCGCGATGTGCACAAGAGTTACGACAGCACAGTGGAACTTTGCTACGAACGTCACCGAAGTCAATCGACGACGAATGGTAAACACATCTAAGATTATTATCTTTTATATATTAAACGAATGGTCTTCGTTGAATGATCGCATCGACGTTGGTTTCGGTAGTTAGACGAACAGTCGTTGAAGTTAAAATTCGATAGAATCTCTTGGCGCAAAGCTGTCAGCTTTGCTTGGAGCCGAATACCAGATCCCCTTGCAAGAAGGGAGCTCAAGATGATTGCTGTTAAAGGCCGAAATTCCCTGACTGACGATAAATTTAACGAGGTAAATATTTCTTTAAAATCTGCTTGCATCGACCAAACAACGGCGGCGCTGAAAACGTAGCTAATTTTTAGCTGCACAGTCTGCTCGTCGAGATGAAAGAAATATACGCGAGAACAAGATTGTGCCCCTACAGGACCATAGGTGCAAATTGTGATTTAAGTTTGGACCACGGTTAGTTTATAGTTACTTGTAATTAATAAGTTACGAGTGGCGTATAACTATTCGCATACTTCGCAGACGCAGGGAAGATAATGGCGCGGTCGAAGGACTACGATGAATTGTTATACTACTGGCACGCTTGGCACGAAGCCACTGGGCCACAGCTTAAAAACAAATACATGAGATATGTTCAACTCGCGAATCAAGCGGCTAGATTAAATGGTAAATCAAAATGTGTAATTATATACACTATTGGAAATATTTGTTGCGCCATTCGAACATTTAACATGCTGTTATTTATACTTCAGCTACTATTAGGACTGAGGTTATAAATATTGTTCAATCAATGACTATTATTAAGTCACGTAAAGTTATATTGTTTTATTGAATTCGTCAAATGAACTAAGATAAAAGGAAGAGGTCAGATAAATGATCTACTGCAGATTTTCAAAATATTAGATAAACTTAATCTCAACAATTCCCCATATTTTGTTATATTTTTCTATAAAGAAATTTTGATTCTCTATAAATATAATGAAACTATTTATACTAAGAATAGATATACAGCTCGATATCTGGCTTAACATAAGTTGGATATCGATTTGTCAGTCATGTATGTATAAGATGCATAAACAGTAAGTGGATTCGAGGATGACGCGATGAATTTTTCCAGTAATGCACACATTTTGAACAATTTGATGAACGATATGACTTCTTCAGGATTCGAAGATGCGGGTGATCAAATGAGGGAACTTTTCGAAGACGAGTTCTTTCAGCAGAATACCGCGGACGTAATGTCGTCCGTGATGCATCTTTACAAGAATCTGTTCACCTATGTAAGGACGAAATTGTTCGAAAGGTATGGCGATAAGATAAGAAGGGATGGACCTCTTCCAGCGCACACTTTAGGAAACATGTGGGCCCAGAACTGGGAAAACCTCTTTGACGTGGTGCAACCATTCCCAGCGAGTAGAAAATTTGATGTCACTTTGGACATGATGATCCAAGGCTTCACGCCCTTGAGGTAATTTTTTAGTTGTGAATGACAAGTGCACTCATCGTTGTGTCATTCTAGCGACACAGTATATCTAAACACTCTTAAAAAACGCCACGGCGCTTAAAAGGTTTAGATGTAAAACTGTAACACATAACTTTAACGGTCCTAAAAAAAGAGGTATTTTCAGAAATTCTTTATAAAGATATTATATGATGAATTTTTTTTTGTTTTATCTACTTTCTTTAAGGCCACATCAACTACATGGTTATTAGTGACCACGTTAATATCTACAATTCAATTACAATTTATTCATTATTTCATATTTCGTTAATATATCTACTAGTTTGAGAAATTCGTTTCTATTGTTGAGAATCGTCTGTATATTATTTAAAAGTTTGAATTCTACTCGATCGTGCTGCATTCCTTGACATTCTTCAATTAAAAGTTTAACTGTGAGAGGTTTGTCACAAAAGGTGCATGATGGTGGCTATGATTTCGTTATTTTGTAACAATGGGTTAGATTTGTGTGGCCAATTCCCAATCTTGTTATTGCCACTTGTAGTCTTTTATTTAGTAGGGTCGGAGTTGTATCATTGGTTGAATTTAATTAGGAAGATGTAGCCATTTATCAAATTTGTTGAGTTATGCTTCTCGCGAATTTGAAACAAGTAGTTTTGAGAAAAACACATTAAAAATTTTAGTTGTACTAAGAATTTGAAGCATTTATTTATGAAATTAAAAAAAGATTTGATTTTTTTCATTTTACTTTCATTTTATTCAAAATTTTTAAAATTTATTTCTCAAAATTTGACCATGTGAAAAATGCATCAAAGAACATCGATTTGTAAAAAAAATGTATATACATTGTCGTGTCCACTTAGTGCTCTGATTTCATTACTTCAATTATACACAAACTGTGAAATGTGAAAATATTTTAGGATGTTCCAAATAGCAGAAGAGTTCTTCACATCACTGGGAATGAAGCCGATGCCGCCTGAATTCTGGAGGTTCTCGATGTTCGAGAAACCTATCGAGAGAGAAGTGAAGTGTACACCCAGCGCGTGGGACTTCTGCAACAGAATCGACTACAGGTAATCACTATCCGCTGAGAAATTGCTTGGTACACTACACATGGATATTTCATAGGATAAAGCAATGTACGAGGGTCACGATGGACGACTTGTTATCGACTCATCACGAGATTGCGCGTTTGCAATATTACCTGCAGTATAGAGATCAACCGCTATTGTTTCGAAACGAAGCGATTCCAGGTGATAAGAAGAATTATTATTCACGTAAACAAAGAAATGCTGACTTTCTACTCGTGAATTTAGGATTCTTCGAAGCAGTGAGCGATGCCATTGAGCTCTCCGTCTTCACGCCACAACATTTGAGTAAAATCAAATTACACGACAACTCTACGGATGACTACGGGAGCAGCATAAATTTCTTGATGTTGATGGCCCTTCGCAAAGTCGCCTACATACCGTTCGCGTACATAGTTGACGAGGTTTTGCACATTTCATTAGCGATTATAATGATAGACTTTAGTTCTAAATTCTGTATACAGAGTAAGTCTTATAACGCGACGACCTCAAATAAATCGTAAGGTATTTGTTGTACGACAAAATGTTTCAAACGAAAGTTACATGGTATCTAGGGGGACATACACTGCTGTAATCTGTTTTTCATTACCTTAATTTTTTATTGAGATATTAGGGTTACCTTCAGTTTTTTCAATGGAATGTCTAATATTTTTTTTCGAATTCGGATAAATCATCAAATTATGCGTAAAAAAAGTATTACATAAAGTGGGACTTTAAATGAAAAATTACTGAGATATTTATAAAAGAAGTTTATGGGCAATAGCTGCTAAGGTTGGAGTACGACATCCTTCATTATTCACAACTTTGTGATACCTTTTTAACCGACTTCGAAAAGAAGGAGGTTACTCAATTCAACATGTATATTTTTTTTTACGTTTTTGTACATTAAAATTGCCATGTTCTTTGAGTCTTCGACTAAGCCTTAAAAAGGTAGAATGCGATGGCTGATTTCGATCAGGATACTTAGCTTGGTACAAAATCTTAGCTTTTATAGCATTTTCTTCACACGCACCATAAACAATTATTATAATGTTGTTTCACTGTTACAGAACATCGTAATAAAAATGTAGCACTTTTCTCAATACGACTTTAACGCTTACCGAGATACTAAATAGGCATTTCGTGTTGATGATTATTAATATTTAACAGGGAACTTATTTACAGACATGACCTACCGACGTGAATAAAATCGTGCTCAAAATCACGTTGACTAAGCGTATTTCCTAATAGAAGATTATTGATTTGAAGATATCTCGGTAATTATTCATCTGAAGTCCTACTTTATGTAATACTTTTTTTACGCATAATTTGATGATTTATCCGAATTCGAAAAAAAATATTAGACATTCCATTGAAAAAACTGAAGGTAACCCTAATATCTTAATAAAAAATTAAGGTAATGAAAAACAGATTACAGCAGTGTATGTCCCCCTAGATACCATGTAACTTTCGTTTGAAACATTTTGTTGTACAACGAATACGTTACGAGTTATTTGAGGTCGTCACGTTATAAGACTCACCCTGTATAATTCATTTGATGTTGAAAGTGGAGGTGGCACGTCTTCAACCATGGTGTTGCGGATATGACAAATAAGTGGTGGGAGTTGAGACTACAGTATCAAGGAATTGTTCCACCGGTGCCAAGGTCGGAAAGGGACTTCGATCCAGCCTCGAAGTATCATATTCCTGCGGACGCTCCTTATGCTAAGTACAATGAAACAGCCACATAAGATTTGCAAAAAATAATGACTGTCACAGTTGTATTTACAAAAACGAAACTATTTTAATAACTCTCAGGTACTTCGTGGGTGTCGTGTTACAGTTCCAGTTATTCGAATCTCTGTGTGAAATAGCAGGTCACACTGGTGATCTATATACTTGCGATTTTTATAGATCACGGGAGGCTGGCAGATTGCTCTCGTATGTAAATATGCTACTATAATTAATTGTTATATAGGCTGTTCCGGCAACGGTAATACAACCGAGCAGTGAGTGAGTCTTTATAAAAAAATAAGTAGAAATTGCAGAATACAATGCAGAATATGATACAGAATTCAATTTAATATGAATACTGAATTGTATTGATTAGCCAGATTTAGCCTCCCTTGATTTTTATTTACGGAATTTTATTAAATTAAGGGTATATTCCAAATACAACAAAAGTGTTAAAGAATTAAAATAAACATTATTTGGTCTCTGAAAAATTAAAAAGGACAAATGATATACTACAAGGAGTATATAATAATTTCGTTCGAATAGTGAAATTGTGTATGCAGCATCATGGTTATACAGAAACAATTTATCCAGCACTTTCGACTTATTTTTTCATGAGGGATCACTGCTCCGTTGTAGTACCATTGTCGAAATACCTCGTATACTGGTTAAAAAAGTACCATTGTCTATTTGTTTCATTATTTCTGATTTTTAGCGATGTATTATCAATGGGTTCCTCCAGACCATGGAAAGACGTTGTGCGACAAATGACAAGAGGCAGAACAAATAGAATGGACGCTGGTGCTATGTTGAGGTACTTCGAGCCGTTGAATCAATGGTTGAAACGGCAAAACGAAATGGAACCAGTTGTCGGTTGGATCACGAATCGCGAAGACACGGGTGAGTGTAAAAATAATATCGATCGTTTCATTTAGGGCGCGGGTTGTGAAACGCACTAATAATATCTTGCGAGTACAGGTTTTCTTCGACTTGTTTCAGCGTTGTTTTTCCATTGGTATCAAAATGGTGCACAAAAAGTCACCTCGTTCTTGTTTCTACCATTGATTGTAACAGCTACGCAAATTACGATCTAACAAAAATAGATCGTAATGAAAATCGTAAATAAAATGCAGACTAATATATTTTTGTACATAAATTAAAGTATATGTAAATACCTCGTAAGTCCGTGAAATGGACAAGCATCATATTGAAACACAACGGTTTCGCCATCGGTGATGAGAAAAGGAGATATTTAATATTTATGTATTTATTGTACAATTGAAGTAACGTTATATATTAAATTTACTCATGAACCGTACGAAATGTGTTTTATTTATGCTATAATTGATCCAACAGCGATTCGCCATCTTACCATCAAGATTTGTCTTTGATCTTTGCCGCTGCCTACATGTATATCGACCTTTGATAGATGGCGCTACTTTTCCTTCAATTAGTATCCGCACGTACTTTCATAGAGTATGATGTGAGAAATGTGAGCTTTGTGAATAATTTACGTAATTTTTGTAATATTGGCTTACACCAACATTGCTAAGACGGAAACGTTATTCTGTGTGATCTGACAAATGTGTATTCATAAACGTAAGCCGTTCAAGGTGTCAAAATTTTAGTACGTCAAAATTCAACATACTAAACGTGATAGTTATTGGTTAGAAATAACAGCGGTCATTTTTGAAAATGGAAGTGATTCTTTGTCGAAGTACGAGATTCGCCACCACTTTAGGGCTTGGCCCAACGTTTGCGACTAAAAATTTGTTGGAATCAGTACGTTTTATTCAGTGCACAGATCCAAAGCGCTGGAAATTCAAAATTACCGGTATGTGAAAGTGAGGTTACGTCGACATTGCTTTTGACATTATACCAAGCTTAGGTATTACTGCAATTTGTTAAATTACAGAAAGGTATCCGCGGTACGGGAACTTGTCTTGCAACTATGTTCCAATTTTTAATCACATTGCCTCGCATCAACTACCATTTAGGTATAATAGCTTCAAAAATGGTGTTTCAATGGCACGTTACTGTGACTCGAAACAAACTTCGAAAGAAGGCATACAATCAGAATCACCAAAAAAGTTATCCCTATTTGCAAAGATGAAACAGATGACCAAGGATTATTGGCACATCTTAGTACCAGTGCATGTAGTTACTTCTATAGGTTGGGTTGCTATATTTTATGCAGCAATTAAGAAGTAGGCATAAGCATTAAATTTTATAGAATTATCACCATAATTTGGAGTATCATGCTATTCTGCATATATGTTTTCAGTGGTGTGGATGTTGTACACTTGATGGAACTTATGAAATTTAGTCAGAAATATTTAGACATTATGCAAAACTCTGGTGCAGGAATTTGGGCTTTAACGTATGCCCTATACAAAATATTTACACCTCTCAGATATACTGTTACACTAGGTAATTAAATAGAAGTGATCATCTAGCTATGGTCTTATAAAAATTTGGCAGTTATTATTTTAATAATAACCTGAATATGTAATATATAGGACTTACAACAATGGCTATCAAACGGCTCATCAAATTAGGAATTGTTAAACCTTTACCATTTGGTAAACATCAATTGATATCCAAGGTATTACTCTACAAAGTACTCTTAATTGAGATTAAACGAATAAAGTATTGACATTGTTATTTATCCGAAATATTTGTGTTGTCCTTCTTACATGCATACATGATATAGCCTGCGTACGAAGCTCTGTGTAGGTTTTATTATATTGTCAAAAATTAGAATTCTTTCAACATTTCTATCATTTTATATGTTTTCCTTAGATCTTTAATCTACTATATTAATATTTATAAAATATGTTGTTTTAACATGTTATAGACAGCAGAATCAAATAAATCTACGCATACACACAAGACGGCATTTAAAGCGGAACCTCCGAAAACGTAGCGGGTATGGAACAGAATTGACTAATTTTTAACTGAATTTGATGTTTCGATTTTCATAAAACTCGAAACGGAAATGTACGAATGGATGTGCAATGCCTCTTGTAAATGTATAATATTATTGTATTATGATAAAAATTACTTGTAAAATATTATACCAACGAAGTTCCCTTTGTGTCTCCTTTTTACCTTACGAATGAATTAATACAAATTAACGTTGGTCAGGTATATTCTTCTTTATTGAACGGCCGTTTTCTTTTACATACCGTGCATACATTTAAATAAAATTGTACTTTTTATCTACAATACTCGCAGCTTAAACCTAACCTAGTCACATAGATATTGATTAACCTTGACATGTAGCAAATTTGTTGGCAGCACAAATTGTGCGTTGTAACGCCGTAAAATTATTCACGATAATGCACCAAATTTTATTTGATATCTCTATTCGTTCAAGCACGTGATTCTCATAATTTTGAGCTTCAGCGATAACATTCGTATAATTGTGAATCATTTCGTTAATTCCTGAGCAATATCGATAAATCTCAAGAGTGTTTCGAATGTTTTCGTACTAATGACCGATACCCAGTATATTGTCATAATAAATACTGTTAGCAAATATGATACATCGCGTATGTTACGATGTACTATCATCATAAAATTTCGGTATCGAACGTATCCAGAAATCTTAGGTCTCGATTGTTGAGATCCATATACTACTGTCGACCTTTGTCGCAGTGGACACGTCACAGCATTATGATTATGTATACATATATATTTTATGTACATAAATTAAAGTAAAGGAATTATTTCTTAATGACATTATTATGCTAATATATCACAGTTGCCTACGCAACTCGCTCATCCTAACGAGGCCACCGCGTTCGCGTGCAGTACCTTGGACAAATAAATAAGACCACATATATTAAATATACCACTTACCTATATTAGTAGCTGTCAATGGAAACTTGTCACAAATAGCGACAATATATTGCTAAAAATATCAAATAGATCATCGATCGATCATGATATTAATTAGACCTGAATAATCTAGAGATGATCCCGATGGGCAGTGTAAGTATTTCGGTTCTGTAAATATCCAGTCTTGGTATATTATCCTAACCTCTCATTTAGAGGAACAATAAAGCTATAACTTTCGCAGACGCTGATTGATTAGAATGTAAATCGGTACCTGTCTTTTCTATTAATTTATACCGTATAAACCAATGGACAAGTTAGTTTCACCGCGGTAATCAAAGCTTCGTTCGGTCAATTAACGGATGACCGATACGTGCATAGTTCACTTCTAAATATTCGGCGAAATGCTTAGATAATGGAACTCGCCTAACTTATCCCATAAATTGATAGCTAGCTGATACTGGCTGCGGTGCCCTAGGTTGCATGTGGGATATGCGTTGGATGTGGCACGCACGACACATAAGCCTACCATCGAGTGGGTAGCATCGTTTGTCCGGTTCGTCGGTTAATTGCATACCACAATCCTCGCAAACGTAACAATCCACGTGAAAATCTTTATCCATGGAAACAACCCTCACAGTCTCCTCGGTACCCTGGAAAGTGAATAGCGTCAAGAAAAGTTACAATTCGCTCTATGATATCATATCATAATAGTTGACATACTGAAGGCAACTTACCTCAACTGGAGTGATTCCCTTTCCGCAAGAAGCACATTTAGGGGCGAACATTCTATGGTAATCATTAACGCAATAAATTTTATTATCAACATCGACCGTGAAAGGAACACCATCAAGACATTCGTTACAGACGCAACATCGAAAGCATCCTGGATGATAAGATTTGCCCATCGCTTGTAATATCTGCATGAAAAAAAATCTTATTATTAATAGCGTTCGAACATTAGTCATCCGCGTTAACGTTCTCCATTTAATTACCATTTCCATGATCAGGTGACCGCAGATCGCGCATTTCTCGGCTGTCTGTTGGAAGCCAGAGTACTGCAAATAAAACATTTGCGTGAGCTGCGTCATCATCTCGTTGATGTACTCACCTCAATTATTGTTATACGTACCAAGTAATCTTCCTCGCAGTAAACCCTTCCATGTACATTATAAAACGCTTTACCGCGCAATGCCCTTCCACAGGAACAGCATATAAAGCAATTCGTGTGGTAAAGGTTACCCATGGCTTGGCAAGCCTGACCTGCGCCAGTAACTTTTTCACCGCATGTGTGACAAATACCTGCGGTGAAACGTTAAAAAACATCTCTTATAATTACAAATTGCGATATATATTATAGTTTTTGTAATTACTGTCTAAGCTCTCGCAATCGCTATTCGAGCATCAAGAGAATGCTTTGTCAACGACGGTTGCAAATGTACACGGCTACGATAGCAGAGATCCATTGGGAAGGTTTAAAAATACCCTCATCGACATCCGACAATACTATCCGCTCTTCAGGGTCAATAACTGTCAGAACGCGAACGAATAACACGATACAAGGGAACCAGCCGGTTGAAACGAACTCACAACTCTCTATAGGTAAGACAGACCCTGCCATCCCTTCCGTAGGAATCCTTTATCCTTCATTCGCCGATCGTGACACTTGTAGTTTCGATTTAACGACTTGGTTTCGCTAGGACTGTCCTGTTCGAACTAGAAGCCGCCAACGAGTCGGACTGGTCTATCTATAACGAGATTAGTTACCGCAGCGAGCGCGACCTGGCCACGGCAGTTCGCCGTGTACAGGACGTTACACGAAGAATAGAACTCATGCAGAAAAACGAAGAGGAACACTAGGCGAGCCTAAACGCCAACCACTTCTCGGCTGGCGTTGGCTCGCTTGGCTTGATGTTTCTCTCTGCTCGTGCGGTCTCTCAGTACCTTATTACCAGTGTTACGTTCAAGTAACATCCGATTGGTGCGGGTGCAAGCGAATTATTTTACAAATATACGCTCCTAAAAGGGCAACGTCGGTTATGGAAACAAAGAAAGTAATTTGGATCGAATTCGTTCACCTGAACCGATATGATAAGTGCTTTGCGATTGTGTAATCTTAGAGTTCGGTTGTTTACGAAATCATAACAATGACTGGTATGTCATCGCAAGTCTGACACAGTCAAACCTCTTTGAAAGTTTCGGTATCGACGTAAAATGTCGTTGTGAACAGTTTTCCTCCGACTATCATCGATATTGGGTGCTGCTGTCAACTCGATGGTCCCATACGCGCCTCGACAGAGTACCCTTGCTCGATAAGGTGCAAGCCAGAGATAATTGATGACAGAATAAAATCGATATCGAGGCTCTCCAATGTGAATACTACCTTACAATTCGCAAGCAAACACACTCTCTCGAAGGGAAAGACATCGCAGGGTATGCGTGCACACACACATTCGGACTTAACGCACACACTTGTGACGCTTCAAGTAGGTGCGAAGACACGTAGGTGGAAACGAATGGCCGAGAGTGAATGTCAACGAAACGTCGTATTAAAAAGTTTCGCGACACACTGAAACTCGACTCCATTTTCCAAAACCGGTCTACCGGGAACTCGTGCCGTGGGAATTGGCACGGTACCCAGCTGGTTTTTTTATTTCCTACCAGAAGTATTTCAAATTACTGTCAGAAATGTGTCAGAAATTAAATAACGACGGATTACGCGACAATCTGTTTAAAACAAATTATCAGGAACTCCTGGAAACAGGCATTTGTCGTTGCCGTGTAATCGATGAATCAGCGACGAACGTTATAACTGGTAATCAATGCGTATCAAACGTTAACACTGAAACTATCGAGCAAGTCGATTTGATTCATGTTTTCGAACTCCTTTTAAATGTTGCTCAAGTATCGACAATGTTTTTGCTATAATTTTTGCAATAATTATTTAAAACGTATGTCATGTACTCGATAGTTTTAGTGTTACCAAAGCAAATCTTCATAAATATTCGATGACTGTTCACGAGTTGTTCGATAGATGACCGTTCCTTACCGAAGTATTCACCTTCCTCTTCTTGCTTCTCCATTTCTTCTTCCAGTTGTCTCGTTAACTCTTCTATTTTTCTCTCCGCTTCGGTGGGTCCCTGCAAGAAATAAATCACATCCTGCGTTGCGATCAATATTAACAGATGTTGCCATGGATCGGGATGCGATTTCGTCACGGGAACGCATGAAAAAAAATGCAGGATAGGTATGCGGTTAAAACAACATAAAAATAGAATGAACGAATATACGCAAAAGAAATATTATATGGTTTTTGCAAAAATACATACAGCGTATGAATAAAATATCGTGTGGTAACTATACAGCGCCTGTCAGGAGCGAACAATTTACAGCCTATGATTCAGCGCGAGTTCGGAGAAAGAACTCGTCACGAATTGTAAGATATTCTGAAATGTTCAAGTCTCTCTCGCTGTGCCAATACTTTCCGAAATTCCACGTAGATTAAGAAGCAGAACATGTATGGAGTTGTTTTAAATATTTTCGTTCGAATATCCACTAATCTTATCGTTACATGGGTCAGTTGTTATGTAAAATATTAGCGATAGTGGTTGACATCCGTGAGATCATCGTATAAGTATGGAAAGCGACGCAAGCTTTTTCGTAAGTTCGCATTAAATTCCAACATGTGTATTATTTCAAAAGTAGAGAATTTACGATTTCTCTTCCCAATTTTAACTATTTATTCGAGCTTTGTAGATTCCCAATTTTAACGATAATTCGTCCCAATGAAATTTGGGAACTGTTACATGAAAAACCAGTTACCATTCTTTCGATATGATATCGGCATGCAAAATAGATCAACGCTTGGCACTCGGCCAAAACAAAACAAATCGAAAGCAGCGATGCGTTCCCTTAACCCAATTAACGCGAGCACCGCGTTACATTATGGCTGGCTTTTACGGACACGAAAGCATGGACACATAGATTAGGGTTATGGAAATGTTAGTGATTGTCTTTTAACGTGTAAAGGAATTCCTTACCGAAGACCTGGGTGGTATAACATTGAAGGGAAGCAGTCCCTTCCCAGCTGTAGGTTTCATTGGTGGACTAACCGACTTTCTTTCTTCTGGTTCTGGTTCTGATGGCCTTTGTAATACAGGTACCCCAGCACTCAAAAAAACTGGACCAGCAACACCACTAGTCACCCCCGGAGGAAGGCTAGTAATTCTAGGACCATGGATATTTGAATCAGAGTCAGTGGCAGTAGTTATAGCACTAGTTACCGGTGCTTGTACTTGACCACGAAGAGGACTTCCAATAGTATTGTTCGAGGAAGATAACACATGTCTTGGCGAATTAATGACATTCTGTGCAATAGTATCGGATGGTATTTGATTGTGAGTCGGACTTGTCTTTGGGGAGCCTCTCGCACCATTATTGTTAGCTATTATTCTGGAAGAATCACTGCGATTGGGTGAATACATGGGTGGTGATTTTGCTTCAAAAGGATCAGGTACATCCTGAATGAAGTTTCTATCATTCTGCAGATTACTTAGTCTTAAGTGTTCTGTCGATCGGTTAGAGGAATAAATTGGGGAATTTCTAGCAGGAAAGTCCGACCTAGATTCTTGATGATGGTAGTTCCTTTCGTTTGGTGGTAATATCCTACTTGGAGAGTAACAGGGAGGATTACGGCAAGCAGATTGCTCACCTTGTCGTACACCATAGACAGGTGAGTTTCTGGCTTGGGTCTCTCCGCCAATATTTGCACCCGTGGTTCGTGTTGTCGACTCCATGTATGGCTTATAACTTTGAGGACTATCCTGACGATATTGTAATTGCTGTGCACCTTCTACATGGTTTGTTGCTCTAAATCCGTGTTGTCCACTTATCGAATTATCCAATGAACCACGATAATGATGCGGCTCTGGAGGTAAACGTATTGGTGGGGATTCGCTATGGTAAGGAAGTCCAGACCTAGAAGAATGTTGTTGTTGTTGTTGCTCGGAATTATAACTAAAATTTCTGGTTGGCGTTTGTAATTCTGATGGTGGAACGTAAGCACTTCTGCCAGCTTGGTGATCCAATGACGAAGAAGATCCTTGTAAGTACCTTGAGCCAGAGGAATCGACAGAACGTTGTAAATTGGAACCGTCATAACTTTGGCCACGAATATTGTTTCCTCTCTGTTGCGTATATGATAAATTTTGTGTCATACCACGTTGATTTTGGGCTTGACCTACTTTTCCAGTCATAACAACATAGTCACCTCCATTGATGGTGGCTGGGTGGTAATAATTAGGTGGAACCTGAGGACCAGGTTTATTTTGCGTATTCTCTGTGAAGTGTACCTCCTGAATATTCTCATAAACAGGAGGTGCTTCGTATGGAGGCAATTCTTTAGCTGGCGATATCGATTGATATCGATTTCCAGTAGGTACTTGTGGTTGTGCTTTTCTAAAAGTAGGTTCATAGGATTCACTTGCCACGGAACCCCTAGGACTACTCTTAGGGCTTTTTCTCGACTCCACTGGATGATAGTAAGGAGGATGAGGTTGACTTTGCTGCGGATAATAATCAATGTTTTCGTAAACTGGTGCTTGTTGATGACTCATACGACTTTGATTCTGTTGTTGGTGTTGTTGAGCGCTTATCTGCTCCACAGGTTTAGGCGTAGCAAACCTTGATGCAGCTATTATATTTTCACGCTCATACAACTTATAGTCGGTCATTGATGCTTGTCTACAGCTCTCAGAGTTGCCTTCGATGAAACTTTCAATAGCACCAACTGGTCTGCCAGGTCCTCTGGCATCATTCCTGTTGGCGATACTTCTCGATACGGGTACCTGGGCCTCAGGTCGTGATCCCGTGAGCCTACCGGTACCCGATGCACCGCCGGCGTCACTAGGTTCATCCCCGAGATGCAGATAACCTAACTTTTGTACGTAAGAAGCGTCGGCCGAGTTGCACATTGGCAGTGATTCACGTCAAGGCGATCAACGATAATAAAAAAAGATTTTGTGCTCGTTACGTAGAGACTATTCGCGTGTACCGTTTAAATCGACGTTTTCGCGATTCCTTGGTAAATCGTTGCCAAACGATCCGACATCGTTCACAAAGCTGAATCAGCTCGGTGGTCGTCGTGTCAAATCGATCTCCCTCAGCTTGATACACCCTTCCCTACCAACTTTGTTTTCACTCGACTGCGTGTCGTACACACGCACGATTCTCTCACGGAATACGAAAAAACGCGACGCACAGTATCGCGAAGAATACTCGAGCAAACCAAGGGCCGTTTCTCCCCCACGATTTTGGGATACGCCCCGCGATCACGGCGCCTCGAGTTCGCCTCTCTTCTTTTCGACTACCGTCTGTCGACCGGCGTATCTTGGAGTCCTGTCCAGCACCAAAAATCACCACCTGCGAAAATTCACACGATACGCACACACATGCACCCCGCACGCATCGTGCTTCGTCAAACCATATACCTGCGAGACATTTTCCCCTCTGCTACGAGTCATCCAAACGAAACCTGCGTTGCTGCGCTCCGTCACGGTGTGGCGCCACGTTTACCGCTTCGTATCCATCGATTTAAGTTAGGGAAAGTAAGATTTCTACTTTCAAACATCGTACTGTGAATTGGCGCCTCTGTCGGCGTAACATAAAACTAATTGTTATTCCCTGCAATTTCTTTTTTAGAAACAATCAAATATTTACAGAATATCGCGCACGATTACCGAGGATGGACATATTTGTAGTAAATTTTAAAATCTATGGTTGTTATTGATGCGTAAATAGAGTATAATATTTTTCCTGAATTGGGAATCTACATATTTCAGGTGCGTTATAGATCATACGATTCGAACGTTTTGCGCATGTAAATTATGTCTTCATTAAAAACAGGTAGATGCTTCGCACGAAATCTTCTCTACCCACACCGATCTTTGACAAAGAAAGCGAAAATGCATTCATCTGTGCTGGAAACAGGTTTTTTTTTAGGACCTGCCTAGGAAGAGAATGAACGGGTCCGACAGGTAAAGGTGCAAGACTTTGTCTCGCGCGCCATCATGCGTTCAAAACCACCGCGTTCGGCATAGTAATGCAATGCCATTCCAATACGTTCCCTGTGTTTTACACCTACTACAGTTAACAGAGATAATTATCTAGCGAACCATCTCGTGCAGAGAAGTGTTGCCTTCCATAGTAGAGAAGATGATACAATTATTTGCAGGTATTTATTGGCACTTTTGAATTAGATAGCGTATATCAGAAAAACCGCAAGTATGTGACTTTAACTGTAAGATGGGAAAGGAAAGAAATACATTTTACGTTATTTTAGTTGTTCGATAAAAATCACTTATTCAGTCAATAACGTATTGTTACTTTTTGCATTATGATTTTTTAGGACTATATTATCTGTAACCAAATCAGTAGTTTTTTTTTCAATTTAGCGTCTTGTTTCCGATAGAGAAAGAGGCTGCTAATTAATGGTTCTAGAATCTGATGATATTTATTGTAGTTATTGGCCTGTCATTTAGTTTTTGTAATTTAATTTCCGATAAAATTAATAAAAGAATTGTCTGTGCATACTTTTCTTTCTGTTTGCGTCAAGGGGAAACAAAAGAGTGGACAACAGTTTTCGTATCGCAATTAACATATTTTTTTTACTTTGATAGGTAATTAAAGGATAATGGGTATCGTACGCTCACAAGAGAAAAAGATTTATTTTTTATTTTTATGTCACATGAAAACAATTTTTTTAATGAACAAAAAAAATGTTATTTATTAGTTTAGCATGTGTATTATTACGTATACAAGCATTGACAATTCACAATTTGTTACGTAAAATAGAAATTCTTTAAGAAACTCTTTTTTTTGGAGCTTACGATAATAACCCTTTAAATAGGGGAAACAAAAAAAAATTCTTGTATTAGACAGATAAGAAAGAAGAAAAGAGAGAGGAAAGAAAAGTACAAAAAAAGAGAAAGCATAAAAATCCTTTTAAAAAAAGAAGAATGAATAAGAAAATATAGTTTTAGTCCACGATTCATTATATGAATGATTTAATTATTAATATTGTTACGCCGGAGGGTTGAAACACGAGAATCCATGTTAAACTATATATAACGTTTATTAACAAACTTTAACTTTTAACGATTTAACAATAATTCACAACGATAAACTCAGAGACTTGTAGCGATACGTCTTCTCTCTTTAAGATCTCGAATCGCTCTCTTCTATTTTAAAAGTTTGCCGCTTCCTGGCAACCGGAAGCGCGGGAACTCGTTTCCGCAACTTCACATCGTCGCAACATTTTCACACCGTCGCGACGATGTAACTCGGAACTGTAATGCGACATCTTCATACTGTCGCAACAATATTATCACTTACTATTGTTATTATTTACCTGTTTCACCGTATTTACATCATTTTCTTAAAATATGTATTTTTATTTTGCTGTATTACACTTTTATTCGTATGTGCTAATTACTGTGGTCAAGGTACATACTAATTATTGTTTTTAAATAAAATAGAATTTTATAGTTTATTGTTGACAGAAGAAATTTATTTTTATTTCATAGTGAAGATTTCTTAGGAGCACAAATCTCGTAACAATTTCATTAAGAAAGAAGATGTTAAAATAACATTATTGAATACGTTAGGAGACAAAAATTCGAAGAGCGTCCTAAAAATCCCAATAACTGTATCATCTACCCTACGTGTCGTGCAACTAAGAAATCGTTAAACCCCGTTTCCCGTTTCTTATCTCAACCGTAACTTAGCGATTCCTGTTACGTTTATCTGAAACGACTTTCCGTGCTTCCCTCGAAAAGTAAAACGATGACACTGATTCTCGCTAGAGCTCAACATTTAGGATACTCGACGTTTTGTTCGCAATGATATTACCGGCATTGCAATAAATGGATTCTTAGGACAGCATAAACATTGAAATTTATTATATGTGTACTCATACTCCACCATTCTTCTCTTCAATTAATTCGAGAACAGAGAGGGTGATAATATGGTTCTTATTTTTCTGGTAAGTGCTACGATATGTCGGGAACTGAAATGAATATAACAATTAGTATCTTCTAATAGCTATCGGATAAAACTAATATCATTCACATATTTAAAGGATCAAGGAGGCACTGTAATATTTTTTACAAATTGTTTCTTTTTATTATTCATCATTACTAGTCATTACTAATCATTACTAATCATTACTTTTAACAATTACTGTCCATGTAACTGCAACTACTTGAAAGTAATTAAAAAAGTAGTTCTAATTATTTGTTAACTACCTTAGATTTGGAATACCTTTTAATTACTTTCTGGGTAGTTATAAGTAATTATTAAAAAGTAATTGAATTACTCAGCAATTAAAAATAAAGTATTGCATAATTACTAAAAACAAAGTAATCAAGAATTACTTAAATAACTACTTTCTAATTCAAGAGTAATTATTCCAAATTTTAATGAATATTAAAGTAATCACTATTTTAGAGCCCTGGCGAGGCTATATCTAATTTAAGAAAATGTTTGTTTTTTTTTATTTCAGATATACCCAGTGGTTACAAAGCTGTCAAACAGTTACCAATGTTTTTTATTTTACAATGCTCACTTGCGCTGTAGACGCCATGTTAATGACATTATGAGACCGGTTTATTTATTTATTGTTTATTTATTTACTCAATGTTCTGAAGGTTTGAAAACAATTTATCGTATTGTATAAAGTGTCTTTATAGAAATTTTTTAAATATACCTCTCTTAAAAGTGCTTTTACAGTGACCTGCTCCCGTAATGTTAAAATACAGAATCTGTAAAAGAAGATCAACTAGTTGCTACGCGTGTTTTATATTCTCAACTTCAACTTCTAAAATCATATTTTTTATAAAGTTTTGTGAAGAAGGGATAGTTTCAATATAGTTGAATCTCCACGATAGGAAACAACGAGGATACATTATCTCAAATCTACGAGCTACAATTTTTGTCGGTCGTTCATACCTTGTCCAAATTTGATCATATTTTCCTCAAACTACAAGAAATGATTCATGTTACCATCTTTTCCCCCAACAATTCAACATAGCTGCTGTTCTTATCCGATAAGGGAATTAGAAACAAAGAACTACGCGATCGCCATAGTTCTCTCTGAAATTGTCAATTGTTTCACTATATTCTTTATAAGGGAGAGAAATTTTTGTGCATGTGTTTCAATACCAGACTCGATCATGCACGTGTTGCCGTAACCAAGACTGTCGTCCTACGCGGGAAAGGAACCAACTTTTCATTGGCCGTGTCTCGCAGCTGTTCACCGCTTGCGATAACGTGGGCGACGCGATCTCACTCAACGAAAACTTTATATTTTCGAAAGGTGAATAAAAATCCGGGCCTTCGAGCCACCCACGAGATGGTGGCACCCACGTTTTTCCAGGCACCTGCGCGGCACGTCGATACGTTGTTGGTCAATACCGGTTGATCGATCGACCGATACTGCCCGGTGACATAACGCTACACGCAGTGACGGTTTTAGCAATATCGGCTCCCTGGCCAATGTTATCGTGGCGCCCATTCGGGGGTTAAAATTAAAAAAAGAAAGACAAGATAATCATATGAAACGATGAATCTGCAGTTAGATTGTAAAAATGGTTAAATTACATAGCATGGAAGAGACAATGAGAAAATATCGGTATATTTGCATACTAGAGACACTGGGTTGAGGCAACCCCTACAAATCTAGCGCGCTGGACAATTGCCCGATCGCGACCCCTCCCCACACCTAACACCGACCCTGGCTACACGTTCACAGTTCGGCTTTTCATTAGCGTATCGGGTATATCACATCGTCCGTTACTTACACGTTTTTGATTATGTGAATCTTATAAGGAGAGACAGTTTATATCGAAAAATATAAACCACGTAATTTTTTTATAGCTGTCCGTATTTACGCTGAAGGATCGAAACCACCCCTGAAGTCGTTAAAATAGACTAACAAAGCATGCTGCGAGATGTAACTTTCTGATTGAATTCGAACTTCACAGACAGATAGAGGATAAAAGAATAGAAGACTGCTTTTTATCTTTTTGGCGGATATTTATATTGGAGGCTGAAAACCGCTTTTAAAAGTGTACTTCATCTCTATACCATACTATCAGTGTTTAGGAATATGTAGGGAGTAAATTTTGGAATGATTTTACTTATTAAGATTTTTTAGGGCGCTGGTTTCAGATCTGGAATTATACTTGAAAAATGAATTTGTTTAAACAATTTTGTTAAACAAAATATTGCAAAATTCCAGATTTTGAATGTAATACTTATCATAACTTTAAAGGTATCTGAATTCAAGAAGAATAACATAATCGAAAGCAGTATTAATCAATAAAGTATGTAATAAACGTACTAATTAATTAATGCATCTGGTATAAAACTATTGCAGGAAAAGGGAAAGATTTAACGGTAATAGAAAGGTACACTTCTTCTTCCTTCTATATATTTTATCCTATATATTTCAATATAAGTGTTTAGAAACCCAC